CTGACTGGGAATCGAACCTTGACCTCCTGGTTCATAGGTTGATGCTCAACCACCAAGCCATGCCAGCTGGGTATTAATTATATTGAATTTTCATCAAAAATAATTTTCCTTTACCGCAAACTAATTTAGCTGCCTCATGAAATTGCCCTGCTCTGCATGAGTTACAGTATGGAGACTGGTTGACATGGGTGGAGCCAGTCTTCACGGAAACCTGCCCAGAGAGGACTCATGGTCTCACTGCAAGGCAGTATTGGGGTTTGCAGCTAGCACCAGCATTTCCTGCCCTTGCTAGGCTGCAAAGCCTCTGTTCCAGTTCAGAACCATACTGAGTTTCCAATAAAATATTTAGGAAAGTTAAGATGAGAATTCATGTGTGTGCATCTAAATTAGTTGCCCCTAGTTTGGATTAGTACAAGTTAAATGAAAAATTACAGATGTGTGTGGTTTTCTTTTTTTAAAAAAATATATTATATTGATTTTTTACAGAGAGGAAGGGAGAGGGATAGAGAGTCAGAAACATCGATCACCTGCCTCCTGCACACCCCCCACTGGGGATGTGCCCGCAACCACGGTACATGCCCTTGACCGGAATCGAACCTGGGACCCTTCAGTCCGCAGGCCGACGCTCCATCCGCTGAGCCAAACCAGTCAGGGCGTGTGCGGTTTTCTTAATCATTTAAACTATAATTATTTTTCCTAATTGTGGGATCTATGAAATATGAGCTATTAAAGGGATAACTCTCCAAATCAATGCATATTGTTAGATATGGAGTTAAATTATGGTGAAATGGCCTAACTGTAGATGTCTATTAAGCCCACCTAAAGGTCTTAGTCAAAGTCTTTTTCTGGGGCTAAGTGGTTTATTACAGTAAATGAACCTGGTTTTTGCCCATAAGTATAAGAGAAGTTGAAATCTTTAATAATAGATGAACCTCAAAAAAGGGCTTCTGTCTGGAGTGGCACACGTAGGGTAGGGCAGCTTGATTGTTCACGTGCATAATCGACATCAAGAGATTTCAGAAGCAAATTTTTTTGTTATTTAGGCAGCTGGTGATTGTTGGTCCTGGCACTCCTCCCCTCCACCCCAAATAATAATAATAGAGCCTCATTTTTCTCTAGTTTATTGTTAGAATGCCCCTTCAAAGCAGCTACATCAACTATTTGTATGGCAGTTGCTCCTGCCACTGCCCTTCCAAATAAATGCAACTTGCACACTCTAGCAGCAGGGGCAGAAAATTCTCCTTCAACCCAGTGTAACTCACCACCGCACTCGTTTCACAGCATACTTACTGCACTGGAAGAAACAGGATGTTGTCTCATTCCCGTGCTGGTGGGTGCGAGGCAGGTTAGTGTGGTGGGATGGGGAGGGCTCTAGTGGACTGGGACTTACCTAGTTCTCTGCAGAGTGAGCGGAATAGGGGTTTTTCGTTTGTTAAAGAGGACAGAACTAGGATTAGGTGAGCCCAGTGTTCCTGCCCCACTTGTGAGTACCTGCTCTTGCAGTGTGAGCAGAGAAACAGCTGTCTCCATGAAGCTGCAGTGCGGAGGGGAGGTAGGCTGTGGACAGACACAGCTCACAAATACTTGTCTTGGTTCTAGTCCTAGGAAGTAGAGAGGGCGGGGCCCAACCTCATCAGATAAAGGCCTGGGAGAGCTGAACAGACCACACACAGTGCCGAGTGCAGCGCTTAGCTTTTTCTGTGTTAATTTCTATATGAAAAGGGAGTAGATAAAATAAGTCAGGTGATAAAATTGTAAGCATTTGGGACAAGCCAATAACACTGAGGACAAAAAGGGTATTTTTAGCCTTGGAAATTCATCAAATTGATCCACTGAAACTGTTGTTGAGGATAGTTGAGGTTTCTCAGTACTTGTTTTCTAACATCATGTGCCACCCTCCAACCCGCTTTTTATGACCCTTTCCTTGTTCAAAATTCCCACCTTAATTTGGGGACTCATCCTGGAGATTATGTGGGAGTTTCAGGCTTTGGAAGGTAGGACAGCTGTGGAGCTGATCAGTGGGAAGGACAGACTTGAGTCCTCAAACTTGACTTCGGGTCCTGGCCATGCCATTTATCGTCCAGGTAACATCAGCAAAGTCCTGGAGCCTCTAAGCTCTGCATTTTCCCAGCTATCCAATGGGCCGAGCACTGCCAATGCTCAGGTTAGAGGAGGAAGCGGAGATGGTAAGTGGAGTGCCCAGCCTGGGCAGGAAAAGTTTCTGCTCCCAGGACTGGTTCGGGTTTCTTCTCAGGGTTCCTTTTCATTGCTAGACGAACCAGCCCTGCCCGCACACCTCCACTTCTGTGCTTACGCTCTGCATCCACTGCCAGCTTTGGGCTAAAGCTTCCAGACAGGGCCCATACTCACATGGTGTCTTAGAGCAAATGAGAACTCATTTGCCGACCAGACTTTTTGTCATCAGCAATAGGTTTTTAATCTCTCGGAGCTAGGTGGATTACTTTCTATTAAAAGTAGAGCCCTGACCGTTTTGGCTCAGTGGATAGAGCGTTGGCCTGCGGACTGAAGGGTCCCAGGTTCGATTCCGGTCAAGGGCATGTACCTTGGTTGCGGGCACATCCCCAGTAGGGGGTTTGCAGGAAGCAGCTGAATCGATGTTTCTAACTCTCTATTCCTCTCCTTCTCCCTTCCTCTCTGTAAAAAAAAAAAAAAAAATCAATAAAATATATATATATTTTAAAAGTAGAATAAACAATTTGCTTTTCTGTTTTGTGTCAATCAGAACGCAATTTCTCAACGTTGGAGCTCCTTTAGGGAGTGTGTCTATATCTGTGATCCAGCTGCTGTGTTCCTGGTCACTTTCCCCCTGTGACACGGGTGCTTTGGATGGGGAGGGTAAACCCGAGAAGACTTGGCAAAGACATTATCATGGTGGGTCAGCAGCTGCCACTCGACAGAACAGCAGCCTAGAGGTGCAAGACCGACAAGAGGAACACCATCAGCCTCAGCGAACCACAGCCCAATTCAGAATTGTCACCAAACCGCCATGGCCCTCTTCCTGGCACAGTTCTTCCCTCCCTCAGGTCATGTACAGTTTTACACTTGGGTTGAAAGGATGGGGTGGGGAGGAAGGACATTATGTTGTAAACTATGCCATCCTATCTCTGCCTGAGGATGGATTGGAGTGACCATGTACTATTTTGCTTAAGTGGCATTGTCATTGTAAGAATGCACTCTTAGATTGCCTGAATCTTTCCTTTTTTTTTTTTTTCCTTTTCACTGAAATTATTAGGGTCATACTGGTTAACAAAATTATACAGGCTTCAGGGGCACAATTCCATAACACATCGTCTGTACACTATATTGTGTGTTTACCACCCAAGTTCCTGGTGACTTTCTGACAAAGTCATGCAAAGGCGGTGCTTACTCTGCCATGATTCAAGGCTAACGCCATCGCAATGCCACCCTCTCTACCATCTCAACTTCTCCCGTGTTCAGTGAAGACTTGGCAGTTAATCTACACTTTTCCTCCTGAACCTAAGCCATACCTGACCCTTGGTTGACTTGAGCCAGCACAGCCTCCGTATATGTTGGCCTTCTAACTTGTTACTCTCATTTCCATCTCTTCAGCTGCCATGTCCTTGTCATGCTTACGAGCAACACCACATCTGGAATCAACTCCCAATATCCCATCCTCTCTGGCGCTCACACCCTCTGTCCCGTCACTGCTATACTTCGGCCTCACACCTTTCAATCCCTCTCTTTCCCGGCACCCTCGGCCGCCAGTACTACTTGTGTCTGATGGAATGTCACCACCAAACAACCCACTTCTGTCTACACTTCTGAAACCCTGTGATCTCCTGGAAGCCCCACCGGTGTACATAGGTTTTGTCTTGCCTTATTCGTGGTCTCCAGCATCAGCTGAGTGTGTGTCACTTGACAACCCTTCCTACTTGTCCTAAGTCAAGCTCCCTGCACCATTTTGCTCAGCAAATTCTCTAAATGACTTTCCTCAAAATCCTTAAGAACTCTGCTTCTGTCCATTTCTCATCCCCCGGCAGTAGCCCAATGGCCTGGCCTCCTGCTTCATAGACATTGGAGGGCTGAGGTTGTTTCGTCCCCTTGTGCCGTCTCCCTGCACATTAACAGACAGGCCCCCTCCACTGGCAGTGCTGCTCCATGCTGAGCCTGCGTCCTCCACCTGTGCTCTCGCCCCCTCTCCTCCCTCACGTCCCGCTCGCTCACTCGTCTCCTCCACACGCCCGCCATTTCCCCTGGCTCTCTTCCTTTGCGTTAAGTCCTGCTCCTTAAACAAGGCTCTCATGGCCCTGCCTCCCTCCAGCCACTGCCTTATCGCCTTCCATTCTGAGACCAGGTTTGTTGTAATGGTCTCTACTTTATCTGTTCATCCCGGGATCGTGTCTGCAGCAGCGTGCCAGCCCTTCTGTCATCTGCCTGGTCTTGTGCCCAAACAGGTGAAGACTCCTGATCTTGACTCTTCCAGTCTTAACACTAGACATGGTCTGCCTCTGTCCCTGGGACTTCCACCACTCTCCTTTTTCTTCACTTCCCGTTCACTTCCGGTCTCTGACTTTTGCTTCTCTCGCTGCTCTGCTGGCTCTGCCTGTCCTCCTGGGTCATCTGACCCACTCTTGTGGCTTAACAAGCACCTGTGTGCTGACCGTGCTGAGTTTCTGTCTCTCTCTGGATTCTCCCCAGAGCTCTAAGTCCATGCCCCACTGTTCCAGGTCGCCCTGCTCCTGTCCCACAGGCTCACTCTCACTGGGTCCACCAACCTTCCTCCACCCTTCCTCCTTTCCGCAGATGTCTCTCACCAGTTGGCTCCTCTCGCTCCCTATTCCCACTGGTGGCCACCACATCCGGATGTGTTTACCCCCTAAATATTTCTCAAGCGGACTTTGCTCCATCCCAGCTGCTCTGCCCCCTGCAATCTTCCTCCCCTAGGCACTCCTGAACTTTTCTAGATACAGATGCAACGCGCCCTCCCGGATCACTGCAGGGGTTTCTGGGGGCCTCAGGGAGGCATTCCAAAACCCCCTGGCCTCCTTTTCTGTCCGGCTACCTCTGGACTTCATTTTCCTCTGCCTGAGATGTCCTTTCCCACCTCCTCAACTTTACTCCTTTCCAAACAGCCGAGACGCCTCTAGGAAGCTTTCCCTGGACCGGTGTTTCCACAACGCTCTGCCCCAACTGCAGTTCTTACGTTATTACGAAAGTGGCTGTCATGTGTCTGCTTTCCCACAAAACCACACCTTTGAGGGCAGGGAAGCAGGCCCAGCCCAGGTAAGATATGGTTGGGACCAATCAGCAGAAATAGCTGGTGATGCTACTACCTGTGTCCTCTGCCCTACTGCTTGGAGCATCAGGTCCAGGACCCTTAGCTGCATTAAGGGAATGTGGCGGAGTAGAAAAAGGAGTTCTGAAAGCAGACAGGCCTGGATTCGAATGTTTGTTCCATCAGTGATTAGCTGAGTGATCTTATGTGAGTTTCTTAACCTGTCTGGGCCACTGTCTTATCTGTACATTAGGACTATTAATTACTGTTTAAGATTGCTGTAAAGTTTGAGTGAAATAATATATACAAAGCCCCTGACATGTAATAGGTGCTAAATAAATGTCTTTATCTGTTACTGCTATTCCTCTCTCCCTCCTGCTCCATCCTGACACCGGCCTCACGGAAGTTTCCTTGCTCTTGCCCCTTGGCCTTCCTGCCTTGGCTCACACTCCCTCCACCAGCCTCCACTCGCTCAGATCTTCCAGTTGGAAAGAACCCCTTCCCTGGGCTCCTGTTCCCCCGCAGCGTGTGGGAGTCCTCACGACTCAGTCAGCTGGACTCGTAGATGGTTCCTGGGTTGGAAGCTCCTGGAAAGTAGGGGTGTTTCTGCTACGTTTTTGTAGCTCTTTATGCTTCTGAGCTCAGGGCTGGGACACGCGGAGACTTAAATAAATGGTGGCTTACTCTGAGGGGGTGGCGGGCAGGGGAAGGCTTCTTCACCGGCTGAATAGTTGTGAGTCTGCACACCAGCTCACTTGTCCTTAAGATTTTGAGTGATGGCAGTTTGCAAGCAAATCATCATTTGTCTGGAAATTAGACACAATTCTAGAAAATTCACTTCAAACAGTGAAAAAGCATCCATCTTGGAATTAGTTCATAATGTGAAGAAAGACTATTGCTTGTCCCAGACTGCATGAAGTGATGTGCATGTCTCATTATCTCTCAGAAGCATATTGAAAAGAAAGCCTTTCAGCACACTGAGCTCTGGAAAGATCATCTTATTTTGACCAGCTCAGATGAAGCTGACATAATCTTTCAACCAGCCCTCTCAAAGCAAACTATTACATGTAAAATCCTGTTAGCACAGCTACCACAACAAAGAGAGTGCATATAAAATGACCATCTCCTGTCGAAATCAATGCCTTATTGATGGATGTATTAATCCAGTGGGTAGCAGGTGATGGGCGTACGTACAAGTAAACATCTACACTAATAAAAGAGAAAAATGGTAATTGACGTACGACGCTACCCTTTTCATTGGCTAATCAGGGCTATATGCAAATTAACTGCCAACTCAGATGGCAGTTAACTGACAACAAAGATGGCGGTTAATTTGCATATGCAGGCACAATGCAGGGAGGCAAAAGGGAAAGCAGGAAGAAGCCCCCTGCCACTGAGAGAGATCAGAAACCCAGTGGGGAGCTAGGAGCTGGGGGGCAGGGGA